TTTTTTTTTGAAAAATAAGTGACCATGCACTAAAAGTTTCTTTCTTCCGTTTTCAATCGTGACGAATTGAAGGGTCATGACGGTTAATGAAGATTCATACCTTAAGTACCACACTTGCAAAACTTTTTGAAACTGACATCTTTGAATTTTCTGAGACTTTTAATAGGGCTAGTGCATGGTAATTATTGTGCTCATTGACTAATCTTTCAAATGTGCCATTTCTATATAAATACAATTTATAAAAATTGATTTTGTGTGAGCATGCAACATTATGGTAATTATTTAGATCATTAACATAATTCTTTAAACATGTTTTCATAAATAACACAGTTTTATAATCATCATAAATAAATCGTCGGCAATTAATCGTTAAGTCGGTGAATCTTCCGGTCGGTGAATAGTTGTCTATCAACTTTCCTTCGGTGAATTGCAGTCGGTGAACTTTCCGGATGCCCAGTTTCAGCAAGATTTGCTAAAGTCATAAGAGTTTTCGCAGAATCTGACACTCTTCTGCCTGTCGGCGATGTTCAACATTCATGAGAAGCATTAATAGCTATGGCTGAGACAACGACTTTACAGTACTTGCCACTGGATTGGAATTATCTTTAGTATATATTGTGTTGGTACGAGCCTCGTAGGATTACTGTATTGCAGTACTGAACTAGTATTTAACTGTACGTGATGATCAAATCTTTTGTTCAATTACCGTAGCGAGTTATTAACCGCTGAGTACAGTTGTCTATAGGTTATGAAGCTTCAAATTACGTGTATGGTTAAGTTATTTTTTTACAAACATTGGTTCAGATGCACATACAGGCTTTGAAACTGATCCGTTTGTATCCATGGTGTGCAAATTTGGCTAAATTCAGTACGTTTTTGTTTACTTAAACAGCTGTTGTCCGTTGTTCTTTACCAACATTCTGTTTTACAGTGTTCTAACTGGTTTTTGACACCGTTCTTGACTCATGCTTCGTTAGTGATCAGCAATGGAAAAACACAAGCCTGTAGATGAACTGTGCGTGGAAGAGCGGAGCGAGGATGATCCGTCACTCGAAGGAATTCATGTCAGACTTAGTGTTTGTGCAGCTTTTGCTTATTTTTCTTTGATTTGTAGTCTACCAGCACCGCGATGATGATGGCTGGCTTGACGATTCAGGAGACGGAGAAGCCACACACAGAAAAGTATTTAACCGAGCGAGATCAGTGCCAAAAGGTATACATTTTTTGTTGTTTTATTTTTGTCTGTTCAACATCTGTCATACGAATTTCAGATTGTCATGGGGTGGACCGAAGCGGATCAGGTGGATTTTGTAAAGCTGGTGCTGTCCAACATGTGTCATTATCAGCACGGCCTTATAAATTCGTTTTTAAAGCCGATGCTTCAGCGGGACTTCATTTCTTTACTACCCGGTAATTTCATAACGAACGGTCTTTTGTTCCATTTTGGTGGTTCTTCGGAGTGTAGACCTTTTCCTTTCCGTGTAATGTGTAGTCATGCTTAAGGTCCATAATTTATATAATTGGTTTAATATAATTTGCATATTTTAATACCTTTC